TTTTTTTTTTTTTAATGTGTCATTAAAAGCCTTAAGAACAAACTCATGTATTTCACAAGTATGTTCACTTGTGATAGCATGAGCAGGAATAAATCCCTGATGAAGCCTCCTGTCAGAATTCTTAATGTGAATGTGGGTTGTGCCTTCATTTATTTAATAAAATTGGTATTAACAATGAACACAGCTAGCTGCCAGCCCAATAGTAAAAGTAGACCACTAGCTCGGCACCATGCAACTCTAACCTGAGGAAATGGGAGTGACTGGGGGAGGGAGTGGTTGCCAAACTAATGTTCTTCAGCAGACTCTGAGCAACACATTCCCCTGGTACAAACAAACAAGAGAGCTTCTGTGGAGAAAGAAACAGTGTCAAAGCTTTGGCCCAGAGCACAAACGTAGTACAGCAGCCCTGTGTCGGAAGCATTTCTGTCCCGGCAGCAAGCAGAAGTCTTACCCTCAAACTCACAGTAGTGCACCCCATTCAGTCAGTAAGAATGTTGGAGTCTACCATCATCCCTATGAAAATTTCTCTTAGGTCAAGGCTGCTTAGGCTGGTGAGCTTCCAAAAGCAAAGGTCCACCTTCCAGAAAGAAAATACAATTCCTTTTATTCATTTATTTATTCCTATGTATGGACAACATGCATGTCTGTATGCCAGATGCATGCCAGGTACCCACAACAGACAGAAAAAGGTGTCAGGTCCCCTGGAACTGTAGTTACAGATGGTTGTGAGCCATTATTTGGGTGCTGGAATTGGAGCCCAGGTTCTCTGGAACAGCAGTCAGTAACCACTTCTCCAACTCTCTAGCCCAAAGGAAATGCAATTCCTTAACAGCCATCAAAAGATCAGCATTAGGCCAGGGGGAATTGGTACACACCTGTAATCTTAGCTGAGGTAGAAGACTCAAATGTGAGGCCATCCTGAGCCATAGAGTGAGACACTGTCTCAAAAAAAAACAAAAAAACAAAAAAAGGTTTTAAATTCACAGATGAAATGCAATCCCTAATGAAAGACAGAATGCAGGACAACAACCTGGGAGTTTAAAGTGGCCTTGAGGTCATAGAAGCCACACTGCCCTGGCAGGAATGAGAGTATCAATCCATCAACTGGAAGGGCCACAATTTTCAAGTCCTGCCTAGTCCCCTCCCTCTAGCATTACAGGTGGCAAGTAACCGAACAACAAAAATATTTACCAGATACCTAGAGTCACCCTTGACATCACACCTCCCTGGCAATTTTACCTTTAAATATCTTTCAATCCACCCCACCAGTCTCCAAAAGATATACCTGTCTCCAAGGACCTAACAATCCAAATCTGGTCATAGGTTCCTTCCCTTAGTCTCCAAGGAACAACCTGATCTCAGGATAAAAATGGAACCACTATGCTGGTCAGGTGTTCCTTCACGCTCACTTGGAACACTTGTCCCCATTCCTCGAGAGCCTTTGTTTACAAAGTCTTGCTAGCACTTTCCCCATAGAGGGACCCTCCCTTAACCTAGAGGCAGGAGGCAGGGCCTGGTCCCTATTCCAAATGACTTGACAGATTTTGTTGACCCCTCCTGGAAGGCATCATCCTCCCTGTGGAGTGGGGGATGGGGGAAATGGGATGGGAGGGTGGTCAGAGGGCATGGAAGGGAGGGAGAGAGAGAACTGGGATCGATATGCAAAATATGAAAAATAAATAAATATTTTTTAAAAAAAGGCTTGTTAGACAAACTGTCTATGTCTGGCCTGCTCTGTTGCATCTGGTCCAACCCTCCAACCTTCACAGAGACTTGACTGCAATCACACAACCCTGTCACTTACTCTAGGAGGGCTCTGTAGCAGCAGATGCTAGGAAATACACAGCATTAAGGCCTGACTTCACAAACATCTTCCAGGGAAACCCATAACTGCATTGGGACAGGATGGGGTTCCGCTCCTAATTTCTGTTCACATAAGGCTAACACTTTTTACATTGTTTCTGCCCATGACCCCAAAAATTTTTATGTGAACCCCAGTATATAAGATAGGTATACGACTCAAAGGATGATACATCATATAGAACTTTGTTTTAACTTTATTTTACAACAATTCTCTGATACACATATAATTTTACCATTTAAGACAAAAGCAAAGTCTGGATGTGCTTGTTTTAGTTTTATTTAATAAAATATTAAATCTTGACTGAACATTTGCTATGACATTTTCATAGTCGATTTCATAGTTTAGATATTATGATCAATGCTGAGAATGCTGCTATAGCACAGAATGGCAGAAGTATGCTTGTCCTACTTCTAAGCCAAAATTTAGTTCTTTTTCCTTAATGAAACTCAAGTCAACAAAACACCAATTTCTAAAGCCAAATATTTTTAGCACAATACAATTCAAAGATATACTAATTTGACACATGCTGGTTAAAATAGTGACAGAATAACAGTAGAAATCTTGTTTTTGTTTGTCTCCTGAAATTACGCTGTTATATTCCATACGTACAGTAAAACACTGCAAATCATAGAACAATAGAATTGACTGAGCTCTTTTAAGCTTCAGTGAAACCACAAGAGGCCAGAGGCCACAAGGGGAAGTCTACCAGAAACCAGAAACAGATACATTACATTTTTATTTTGAAATAATTTTTGTTCATTGCTGTTAGGAACAAATGGCTAACTGGGATGCCTATTTAACACATCAAGGCAGACTGGCCACCATGTTCTCCCAGCATCTCTCTGTCCCTACATGTCATAGTGTATGGCTGGAATATACTGACCCTATCCTAAACTTCTCCAGCCCAGGCTGGGCTGCGCACTCGCCCCCCACCCAGACCCAGCGCCCTTCCATATATAACCCAGCCATTTTGATTGCCCAGCCCTTTGTCCAACCTTTAGTCTCCTGGAGTCCTGGCTGTCCTCTCTCCCCTCCTTCCTCTTCTCACATGGCCCAACTTGGGGTTCACTCCTAACTTCTGGCCAAGCTCTCCCTTTTATCTACAATAAACTTTCTCCACTGTACCTAGAACAGTCATGTCCTTCCTTTTTGTTTTTTGTTTTTTTTTTTTTTTTTTCATTCAATCGCGCGTTCAGAAACGTTATACAGTTATCAAATTTTTTCCCACAACCTACAGATCCATATGACCGCATCAATAGATTACAGTGACAGACCACAGATTACGAAAAGTAACTTGCTTAGGTTTATCCTATTAAGGTGTCACAACCTGCAGCAACCTGTGGCTGGTCAGATGCCTTTCCAACCTGCGGTTCCCACTCCCGCCCCTGTCCAGTAGCTGAGTGCACCCAAAGGAAATGATGTGCAATGCTGGCAGTTGCCAAGCAGCCAGGCAGCCAGGCACTGCGCTAGCCAGCCCGCACCCCGGCGGGGTCCTTCGGGCCATTGCCGGACAGCCCAGCTCGGGGTCCTGGTGCGGTCGCGTAGCAGCGGCAGGGACGCGGCCAAGCCGCTACCAGAGTACGGTCGCCTGTTAGAGGGTAAGCCTTTGTGACCCAGGGGCTGTGGTGGGCAAGCGCATCAGCGGTGTCCCGGGTCCCTCCAGGCTGAAGCAAGGACGAAGTGCCTGGGGAACCCGCCTGAGAGGAGGGGCGAAGGGAAGGCGGGGACCCGGCCGAGGCCCCACCGCAGTTGGCGAGTCCACGGGAGATGGTGGTTAGGCCTGGTGGGCGCCTAAAAGCGTTTGTCACACGAAGTAGAGCTTGCCCCCGCCCCCAGACCTGTGAGGACCGTGACAGTCACTGAGGGGTTCCTTCGCGAATCTATAGGCGGGGTTTGGCTATCGAACGGATCGCTGCCTGTGCAGGATGGAGGTGGAAGGGGCAATCCTCGCTGTGCTCACCTATAATCATTGCTGGAGCCTGAGTTCCGAGGCCGCGGCTGTGCGGAAATGCAGTCGTGCAAACGCGGGACCCTGTTGCTGATTTTTATACCAGGCTAGTGTCGGCGCCTGTGTCCTAATCCTCACTGCAGCCAGTTGAGCCCGCTTCAATGTCAACTCGAGTTAATTATCAGTGAGTGCGAGCTCCTACCCCTGCGCCTGCTGTGCTGTGCCCAGTTAGTGAAGAATCCAGATTGTTGTGCAGTCCTAGTATTGTTTGGGTCTTATTTGGGTCTGAAGCGATGGTGTAACACACCGATGTTGTACTTATAGAAATATGAGGAGTGTGAGTTTTCACAGAACTGAAGTACAGTTTGTGCTTGACACGTAACATCCTTGTTATGCCCCAGTGTCCTCTTTACAAACCTAATAAGCAGTGAAATATCTGAGTTGAGGCAGTGAAGGACAAAATTTTGGTGTAGGTATGGTTTGTATCATTTACCTTTAAGAAACTGTTGAAACTACTAGACCAGTGCTTCTCAATGTATGGGTCGCGACCCCTTGGAATTCAGATGGCCTTTTCACAGGGCTCACAAGACCATCAGAAAACATGGGTATTTACATTAGGATGCATAACCGTAGTGATATTACAATTATGAGGTAATTGTATGAAAATAATTTTATGGTTGGGTATCACCACAACATGAGGAACTGAATTAGAGGGTTATAGAACCACTGTACTGAAGGTTAAAAATAACACCTACAAAAAAAGTTTTGTGATGGCAACAAGATGGAAAGGGAAGGTAGGACACGAATATGGGTCAGGCATCATTTGTATGATTAGTACAAGCTCGTTTTTTTACCAAATATCAGACTTACCATGTGAGTTAGACACTATTTGTTGTTGTGTTTGTTGCTTTGTGTTTAACAAGTAAGAACACTTGTATGTTGAACTTGTAAATCTAGTATGGAAGGTAGGAGGAGGGGTGTGACACAGTTGCATCTGAAACAAGAAATGACAGGAGAATGTAGAGGCAAAGCTATAGCCCTAAGGCTCAGCAGATAGTGGCCAAGATGTCAGGTTGTGTATCCTTGGGCACTCTGACAGCTGTTCAGGAAAAAGAAGAAAGTAGCTTTAGTTGAAGGGAGATCTCATCTCTAACAGTGGCCTCTTGTTGACTTTTCCAGACAGTGATAAGACTCCAAGGCTGGCTCTTGTCTACAGCCAGGAGCTAATGGCAGGGGACAGAGCCAAGCATTGTGAGCTGGACCAGGAGAAATATGATGCACACAACAACGTGAAGATCATCTGCCTGGGGGACAGTGCAGTGGGCAAGTCCAAGTATGTTGGGAAATTAGGGGAAAAGACACGATTGCAGAATGCACTGATTAGCAAAGTCCTCCAGAGATGAAGATGTGATTTCTATGAGCTGATGAGGGGGAGCCTCAACTCTAGCCCATGTGTGTGGGTGAACATCAGGCTTGTGTCTATGATCCTATTGATGAAGAAATGGGAGAGAGAGTCAAAAGGATAGAACTCAGGGAGTTTTCTGAGTCCTGAAAGAAGTTGTAGAATGGGTCACCATGGGAATTGCTAGAATAGTACAGAGTATGGAGGTAGCAAGTGGGGATATTGCTGCATGTGTGAGGGTTGAGGGATTGCTAGAGGGGGACAGTGGGAGTGGAGGAGAGGAACGTGATAGGTAGAATACAGGCAGTAAAGATGCTTTCTTGGAGGGACTCCCTGAGTTGAAAAGCACAGGTAGCAATGATAATTGACTCTGATGGTGTTAAAGACCAGACTGTTGTTCTGCCTTGGGTGCCTGCCTGTGCAGGGTTAGAACTCTGCACCCGGAGGGCTGAAATCAAGCTCTGCCGTCCACTTGGCTTTATCTCCATCAAGCATCCAACCCATCCAGGGTGAGATAGCAAGAGTGCATGCCCATTTCTGCCTTCAAAGAATGAGGATAGTTGTTCCTGTGTAAATGTCTGGTGTAGTTTTCCACCCCAGCTGTTCCCAGATCACCACACGCTCTGCTTCAGACCCGGATAGCTATGAGGAGTTCCTAGAGGCCTAACTAATGTTAGGCCAGCTTCATGAATTCACATTCATTTCTCCACCGTATGTTAAAGCTCTGCTATTGTATTTTACAATTGCTTTAACCTCCACAGTATCCCATACAGTTAAGGTAAGAATTTGGAAGATTGCCCAGTAAATATCAGCTCTCTGTCTACACTTGAATTTAGAACTGACACAGAAAACTAAAGTGGCAGGGACCAGTTGTTGACTTGATAACCAATAGACCTTTAGGGAAATGTGGACTGGAGAGAAGCCCAAGGAGAGCCTACTAAGTCATCGTTAACCTAAGTCAGTGCAAGAAAAAAAAAAAAAAAAAAAAAAAACTAAGTTGTTAACAGAACATCAAAAGACTGACACAGTTCTGCCCTCTGGGACATTTTGAAGACGAGTTTCCAGCCCCTATTAGACCTCAAGCAGAATGTTAGAGAAAGAGAGATCATGGCAGAATCTGTGTCTAATGGAAGGTTGGTGGGTGGGAGAACCTCATTTCACTGTACTCAAGAATTCCTGGGCAGTTTTCAGTATTCCTAGGCCCTAAGGCTCCTTTCCAGGTGATTCTAGACTGCATCATGTTGACATTTGAAATTAACAATCATAGAAGTATTAAAATATGTTTGTTTTTATTTAAAACTTATATATACTGTTATATAAACCATATATATATATATATGTGTGTATATATATATATATATACATATATATATATATATATATATATATATGATTTTAACATCTTTCCAGGAGGCCAGAGGCTTGTTTTATTCTTTGTTTAGATTTACTATTTGGTAATAACCAAGAAAAGGTTTCAAGGCTACCCTGTGGCTCCAAACTGTATACTAAGTTAAGCTTGTTAATTATGCTCACACTCATGTATTCAGATCTGACTGGACACCGGTGCACTGCCTGGACTTTGGGACATAGCTGTAGACTAAAGATTCCCAAACTGCTGTGCCACATACTCTGTTCTGATTGATAGAGGTGTTAAAGTAAATCAGTTGTGTTTCTGTTAGGGTTCTGTGCAGGTCAGGGAGAAGCGAAAGAGTACAAGCGGGGCGGACCTTCTTAGCTATATCACACAGTCACTTTACTGCTCAGGTGACATCTGAGCAAAGCCTTAGGGAGTGGCTGAGTCTTGAGAAAATGACTATTGATTCAACAGTCTGCAGAGATGGGGTAATTCTATGTGTAGCACTATGTGAAATGGAAACAATGGGTCAGAGAGCCCAATATAAATTGGTGCATAAAAATGACACCAGTGGTTTGGCTGTGTGGCCTTGGTAATGGTGATTCCCCATGGCACAGGCTTGACTAGAAACTGTGACTGTGAAGAGATTGGAAACTTCAAGTGGCTTCTAGATTGTCAGCCCAGGGGTAATAAAGTAGGGACAAGAAGATAGAGATGGTACGTGACCTGTGACCTTGCACATTTCCCTTTCAGACTCATGGAGAGGTTTCTCATGGATGGATTGTATCCTTAAAGACTTGAAATGTCCTTTGTTCCTGTGGTTTTTCCCACTTTCATGCATCATAACCTCCAGTCCACTCCTTTATACCAGCAGCCCGGGAAAAACCAACAGGTTTCCTTCACACCAGATCCTTATATTGGGGTTTCTGCCAGGAAGGCAGAAAGAACAGCAGACAGCACTTAGTCTGTATCAAATGCCTGGATGCAAATCTTGCCTCCTTAGTAGTTCTGACCTTGAGTAAATCATTTCACCCCTTTCCTCAGAACCTAAAAAGTCTTTGTAGGAATAAGTTTTATAAAATGTGGGGTGTCCTCTTTTCCTTCATCCTGTGAACTGCTGCCCTGTACAGATCTGGAGCTGTAACTGGGAGCTCCTTAAAGGTTCCCTAAGTAGACCCCCAAGAGCTGCATGCAAGAACTTCAGGACCAATGAGTCTCCCCCGATCTTAGCCCCCAAAGGCTAATGTCACTCACTCTACATCAAGCCCCACTCTGTTGCTTCCACTTTGCTCATACTGTCCAGCTTATTTCAGCATCAAGAGATGCTGTTCCCCAGGTATTTTGTTAGTGTTTCACACACAAGTGAACTTGAGTTTGTAAATACTTTGCCAGCTGCCTGGTGTAGGTGCTTTTTACTGTGGGACAGTCATGATGCTCCAGCCTAATAAGAACTCTGTCCATGAAAGACTCAAAGTGTCCACAGTTACATTTCCTGGCATCATGACACCACGTAAGATGACTTTTCTATAAATTCCTGCTCTGTTACCTCACACTTAGGTATCCAGGGCATTCTCCCAGGTTCTTCCTTAGACCTTGTGTCACTGAAGCTGGCTGGCTGTCTGTAGGATTTATTCAACTCGAAAGCTAACTTCTTTATAGGGAGGACAGAGTCAGGAGGACAGCCACAAGTTTGAGTTACTTTGGAAAAACTGTCTCATTAAAGAAAAGACCAGTCATGGTGGCCTTTAATCCCAGCACTTGGAAGGCAGAGGCAGGCAAATCTCTGTGAGTTCTATCTAGGCAGCCAGGACTGCAGAGTGAGACCAGTCTCAAAAAATTAAGAAAAACTAAGTAAGGAAGGGGGCCCATTCTATCACATAAATGTCCCCTTCCCCATTTCTGTACCTCTTTTTACTCACCTTTGCTCCTTAACCTGCATCCAGTCAGCCACAGCAGCTGTCCACATATGCTCTGACCCTGTATAAGCACAGGGCCACAGTTGACGGCAAGACCATCCTTGTGGGTGAGCAGCATGGGCCCCCAGGCCACGCCGAGTGTGGGATGGGGTGGTAGGAAAGAAGGCTCAAGAGGTAGTGAAGGAAGAAGAAAATGGGAAGTCAGAGAGCGTTTATGGAGGCAAACAAGACACACAGTCTCGGGAACACCCATGCCAGTACTAGTGCACAAGGCAGGATTTAGAAAAGCAGACACTGGGGGCTGGAGAGATGGCTTAGAGGTTAAGAGCACTGGCTGCTCTTCCAGAGGACCTGAGTTCAATTCCCAGCAACCACATGGTAGACCATAACCATTTATAATGAGATCTGGTGCCCTCTTCTCGCATGCAGCCAGAACACTGTATACATAATAAATAAACAGGGAAGGAAGGAAGGAAGAAGGAAGGCAGGCAGACATGGGAAGACTGTCCCTGCCAGAGGGAAGAGGAACACAGAGGCCTTTGAGTAAACTTCCTCATTACCAGGGTTATCATGTAACCAGTATCAAGAAATAACATCCGTGGCCTGACCACTTCTCAAATGTAAGACATGACTGTCCACCATCTGTGGAAATTTCAATCTTGAAGGGCCCCATATCTTCATTGTGGGGACAAAGCATACCTACATTCTCCATTCTGAGACTTCTTTCTGCACTGACCTTCCTTCTGGTTCTTTGTCTTCCTACACACACCATTGCATATGCACCTCGCACAGTACATGCATGTTTCTGCACAGAGATCTGCATGGAAACACTTGGGGCATGTGGGGAATCTCTCTGTACTCCCAACCCCCAACCCCATTGGGCAGACAGAGTTGTGTTCATGTTGCAGACTTCTGGGATACAGCAGGCCAGGAGCGGTTCCAGAGCATGCATGCCTCCTACTACCACAAGGCTCACGCCTGCATCATGGTATGAAACCAGCTGGGTGATAAAAAAAAATGGTACTAGTCAATTCTGGCCCAAGGGGTAATGAGACAAGGGGCTCAATTGTCCTTGGCCCCACTGCCAAATACAGATGTGTAGAAGGTTCAAGGCCACCCAAACACTTCACCTTAGAGCTTCTAAAAAAGAATGTGCCAGAGGAGCTGTCCTCAGATGGGGACAGGTAAAAGAAAGGCCAAGAAGCTGGGCTCCTGTAGCCATTGTAGTGTCCAAGGGAAATATGGCTAAGACAAGGCCATAGCTGGTTCCTGACAGAGCACACCCACAGTGAAACTTCAAGAGTACCCGCAGCTATTACCTACTGCTCCTGAGACCTTTCCCTCTCAGACCAGCCCTCCCTACCCTCCCAGGATCTCACTGTCCTATTTAGGATAGTTACCATGGGTCCACCCAATGATGGCTTCAGGTAATAGACTGCACAAAAGTCCCCAAAAGTCAATGTGCACAGGGCTCAAGTGAGATTGAAATCCTATCTCCTGGGAGTTCCTGCCTCCCAGCTCCCAGGCTCATTTTCTAGGCCACCACTCTTATATGCTGAGAAGGAATATGTTTTTCTTTTAACCCACAAATGAAACATTCACATGAACACCATACCAGGCATCAATAGACTGATTGAGGTTTGATTCAGTTTGGTTTGGATTGGGTTCGGTATTAGGGAATAAACCCAGGACTTTAAGCATACTGAATATGTGTTTTCCCATTGAGCTGAACCCCAGCCCCATAGCCTAGTTCTCTGAATTATGAACCGTAGGGATTGTCACCAAGTGAGAACAACACTGTCAGTAAGAACTGGTGTGGACTTGCTCACAGAATGACAGCTAGACCTCAAGCTGAGTGCCCAAAGAGAACCAGGTAGGAGCCATATTGTTTGGTGACAGCTCTGTAAGTCGCTCTGGCTCTAATCACAAAGGAAGGAAACAGGTGCTACATCTCTGGTAAGAACACATGGTGTGAATAACTAGACCCCATTGTTATTTGCCCTGGCATTTTATAGCATTTGACACCACCTAACCTGTCTAGCCCTACCTCCTACAACATGCATACCACTATTTTCATTATGAATGGATACCATCTCACCCATAAGGAGTAGCACAAAGGGGACACAGAAAGGACTGGTCCATTCTCACCATCCCCCATCTGTTCTTCCCTCTACAGTTTATACACATTCAATGGAAATGTCACTCATTCAGTCTCTGCTTAGATGCCACCATCCCTCAGCCTCCTCTGATGGTTTAGAGTCACTCTTTCAGTGTCCACGCAGGGGACTCTTGGCTACTTGTGGCACTAGACTGAAAGTGGTGTACACATAAAGGCCACCTGGAGGGCTTGCCAGCTGGTAGAGGAGGACAGTGAGAGGACATTAGAAGGGACTCATCACCTGTGTCTCCACAGTCCCTGAGGCATAAAAGTCCTTGAGAATTTAAAAATTCTCAATTCTAATAAACAAGTCTACTAAATAAAAGAGTGAAATCAGGCAAATGGAACAATGTAACCCCAGAAGTCACACACATACACACATGGGGAGGGGGGGATGGAAGGAGGTGGACAGAGAGAGAGAGAGAGAGAGATCAGCCATTTTAGTTTCAGTCCTGCTCTGGCATTTAGTATTTGAACTTACCTCTTTTCTGTCTGAGACTACCAACTTCACCTGTGGTACATGCCCATTGGTTTCTCTATGGCCCTTTTCTGGTGCTGGTCTGAGTTTACATACACCTATTTGGGTGTGTGTTATCTTTAACACACCTAAACTGTCTTTCTACCCTCCATAGGTATTTGATGTCCAGAGGAAAATCACCTATAAGAACCTGGGTACCTGGTATGCAGAACTTCGGGAGTTCAGGCCGGAGATCCCATGTATCCTGGTGGCCAATAAAATTGATGGTGGGGCCATCCCTGCACCAGGGTGACAGTAATTCCTGGGGACCCAGCACCACACATTTCCTCCTTTCAAAGCATGGGTAGCCTTCAGTCACTTTCCCTTCCCAATGGGAATGCCAGCAGCAAAACCTGCCCTCCCAAGACAAATCCCTGTTAACTGTTTCCAGGGAAGTTCTTGATTGTCCCTTCCCTGCTTCCTAGCACAGAGCCCCAACTGACCTTCCCTCCAAATTTTCCCCTTCCCTGAGTGGACAGGTCAGTGCTCTGCTTCTCTCTGCAGCAGACATACAGATGACTCAAAAGAACTTCAGTTTTGCCAAGAAGTTCTCCCTGCCCCTGTACTTTGTCTCAGCTGCTGATGGTACCAATGTCGTGAAGGTAATGGCAAACCAGGGGCAGTCTGCCGAAGTGGCTTACCGGTCCTGGAGTTACAGGGAGGAGGGAAAGGAAAGAGGGAAAACAAGGACAGTGAGTGGCTAGGTGCAGCAGGGGGCAAAGAGGCTGGGAAGAGCCCATTTTGAGACAAAGTCCACTGACTGTGGGATCAGAGTGATGGAAAGGTCCAGTGGAGGGTGAGACTGCCGATTATGAAGGTGGGGTCCAGGATCCTGCCCCCTGCTATGTTTCTGCCATTTCTGCCTCACTTGCAGCTCTTCAATGATGCAATTCGATTAGCTGTGGCTTACAAGGAAAGTTCCCAGGACTTCATGGATGAGGTTTTACAGGAGCTTGAGGTAAGTCAGGCCCAGTTTTCAGGTACAATAGGAAAAGTAGATGGTGTCTTTCGAGATGTAGACTATAGCCCAACATACAGAGTGTTGCTTGCCTGTGCCACCCCTCAATGCCTCAGAACTACAATTGGACAAATGCAGGGTCAGGCCTCACCTATGGCCTTCTTCACAGAACTTCAAGTTGGAGCAGAAAGAGGATGCACCAGACCAAGAACAGAGTGGCGTGATCAAGAGCCCTTCTCCTTCTTAATCAAGAGGACACCCCCATGTGGCTGAGCTGGGATACTGGGGAGCCACTTGGAATACCTGACATCTCTGGAGAGCCTCTCTAGGTTACCTCTGCTCAACTTCCTACAGACCCAGTGTTCTATGATCCATGATGAGGTCAACACAAACACACTAGACAGACATGACATCCCAACTTCCTGCAGCAGGATGAGGGATCATGTCTTTCACATCTCCCCACCCTACCAGCAGCCTAGCAGTGTAGAAGCCGTGAACATGCTCATATGTCTTAATAGACATTTGATGTTTGTTGTCTTTCATCCCAAACTGACCTCAGGGACTGTCCTCACACTCCTGCTGACAGAATGACTGCTAGCCCCTGACTCCGCTGTGTCCTGCAGAATCTGTGACACCTCTGTCCCTTTTCCCTCTGAATCTCCCAGCCAACTTTTTTAACAATATTTTGGGCAGACAACTGTTAATTGCAGATTTTTAGTGCTAGCTGTTTCAGGAGCTCTTCTAGGTCAGGTGGAGAACACAGGGCTCTATTGCAGTCACGTGACAACAGGGCAAGTCTAGCCATATCTGGTCATATACACACATCACTATTCCCCACCACGTGAACAACAGCTTCTTTTAAAGCCTCCATCTCAGGGTAGAAAGCGTTCCTCCACTTCTCTAGAGCAAGTTAAACACTGCATGTTCTACGGTGGCAGGAAATGGCAGGAGAAGAGGTGTGCTGCTTCCTGCAGCTTGCTAGTTTGCTTTATGATTATCTTGAGCATCATTTGCATTGTCTTTATATTTTGTTTATATTGGTTCCTTTTTTTACAATAAAGATTAAATTTCATAAACATTAAGTGTCTTAGTTACTTTTCTATCGCCATGGCAAAACACCGTGACCAAGGCAACTTGCAGAAGAAAGCCTTTACTGGGGGCTCACGGTCTCAGAGGGTGAGTCCAGGACCATTGTGCTGGGGAGCTTGGCAACAAGCAGGAAGGCATGGAAGCAGGAGCAGTAGCTGAGAGCTTACACTTGATTCACAAGAACAAGACAGAGAAGCAATAAGCCCATCCCCAGGGACACATCTCTTCCAAGACTACCTCTCCTAATCCTTCCTAACAGTTCTACCAGCTAGGAACCAAGCATTCAAACATGAACTAATTGGAGTCATTCTCATTCATTCCTCCACACTAGGTACCTATGTGTACTCTGTGGTCTGAAATTACAAAGAAAAACATCAACCACACTGAAGGAAGACTGCCTTGATCTGCTACCATGCTGTAGTCCAAGTTAAGTCGTTATTGACTACAGGAGACCATTTCAGTGGAATTTATTGTTTGTGGGGGTTTATTAATTAAATATTGATTTGAGATCTCAGCAATAAGTGTGTTTTCCCCTTGAAGTAAAGTGATACTAGTATCTTCTACTTGGACTCCTGATCAGGAATTTTCAGAAATGGCATTACTCAGAGGAGGTAAGATTTCTAGAACAAAAATAAAAACTTGTTGCTGGGCATGGTGGAACATGCCTTTAATCCCAGTACTCAGAATGCAGAAGCAAGTGGATCTCTGAGTTCAAATTCAGCCCGGTCTACATAGTGAATTCCAGTCTATCCAGAGCTACAGAGTAAAATTCTTCCTAAAAGGAAAAAAAATAGATACTGTAAATGTTTATTAAGCTGGGGAGGAGGCACATGTGTGTTGCAATTTTGGGCAGCATGAGCTCATGAGCTAGTTAAGTGCTCTACCACCAAACTACATTCTAGCCCTGTATTTCCTTTTATGTAAATAGCTTTGTTGAGATAGACTTCATGCACTAAAAAATGTACCAGAATTGATTTCACATAGCTGTCATGTACAAGGCAGAGCCTGAGAAGATAATTTTTAGATGGCCTACTGGGGCTGCTTTCTCAGATGACTAAGGGGAACACAGAGTGAGGTGAGAGACCAAGCAAGGTTTTGATCTCAGCTGGAGGCCAACTTTACCACCACCTCCAATCCCACCAAACTCTGAAGGACAAACTGTCCCAGATTTGGTCCTGCCTGAAGACCAGAGGACTGTCAGCAAGTACATGAAACACAGGAGACAGCTTGTATCCTCCAGGGCAAAGTGGCTCCTACTTTAACTCAGACATTTCTCTGGGGAAAGAGGAAACTGCATTTATCCATTAGCACTAGTGTCGGGGTAAGGGGGCTCATAAGATACCAACTACTGCACAATAGCTGTCACTATGCTTTATGATTTAGCTGGTTTTTGAAGGGACCGAATTAAATAGAATAAATAGGAATGTAATATCTGAGATGAAATTCACATGACTAACCCATTCAGTTCATTTCATACTGTCACAATGTGGTCTAACTGCCAAGTCTACATAGTTCCATCACTCCAAAGAGAAATTCTTACTAATGATAAGTCTGTGTTTCATATACGTGAAAACATACAATGTGTGACTTTTCATGTCTTATACTTCAAAGATTCATCCAGAGCAGGGCACAGTGTTGTGCCACTTGGGAGGCAGAGACCAGGCTACATAGTGAGTCCCAGGTCAGCCAGGGCTGGAGGAGGAGAGAGAGAGAGAGAGAGAGAGATTAATCCATGTATCATGTATTTTATTTCTTTTATGGCATGATCATGTTTCAAAATTTATATACTCAACAATTTGTTTACTGATAAATATTTGAGCTGTTTGCAACTTTTATCTATTGAGAATACCATGGAGCCAGCTGTGGTGGCACACACCTTTAATCCTAGCAGAGTCAGAGGCCAGCAGATCACTGTGAATGATCAAGACCAAGCTGATTCATATCGTAAGTTCCAGGATAGCCATGGCTACAAGGTAAGCCCTTGTCTCAAAACTTACAAACAAACAAAAAAATACAAATTTTATCACAAGTGGATCTCAGGAATTTTAGTAATCTATTACCATCAAACAGATCAGCCTTAAGTCCCATTCTCCACAGACCTTATATAATTTATTCAAACCTATGGCTTGGCTTTAAACGTCAATGGTTTTGTCCTTTCTGTGGTTTGAATGAGAATGGCCCTGTAAGCTCATGTATTTGAAAGCTTGGTTCCTAGTTGGTAGAACAATTTGGGAAGGGCCTGGGAGGTATGACCTCTTTAAAGGAGATGTGCCACTAGAGGTGGGTTTTGAGATTTCAAAAGCCCAAAGACTCCTCTCTCTGTCTCCTGTTTGACAAAAAAGGTTATAAGCTCTCAGTTAATGGCCCAACACCATGCCTGCCTGCCTGCTGCCATATTACCCACCATGCTGGTCATGACCTCACTGTCTTAGTTACTATTGCTGTGATGAAACACCATGACCAAAGGAACTTCCACATCAATGTTCATCATTGAAGGAAGTCCGAAATGGCAGGAACCTGGAGGCAGGGGCTGATTGAGAAACCATGGGGGGATGCCACTTACTGGTTTGCTCCACATGGCTTGCTCAGCCAGCCCAGGGATGGACCCACTCACAACGGCCTGGGTTCTCCCCCATCAATATCTAATTAAGAAAATGCCCAACTGCTGGTTCTTATGGAGACATTTTCACAACTGAAGTTCCTGCCTTTCAGATGATTCTAGCTTGTGTCAAGTTGGTATAAGTCGAGCCAGAACACTCACTCACCCTCTGAAACTGTAAACCCCAATGAAGTCTTTCTCCCATAGGTTGCCTTGGTCATGGTGTCTCTTTGTAGCAATAAAACAGTAACTAAGTCCTCATCTTTTTATTTTTTCATTCCAGGGACAAAAGTCTTGTTTTATTACATAAAATGAATCCTTATCTGAAATATTTTTAAACACTTTTTACCAAAACTATGAACCCATACTTACATTCTTCTCTTTAATCCCTTCATATACATTTACCATTTCTTTCCCTAAGAATCAAATTCAAGTAACATACATGGCACATTATATCAAATTAAGATTACCTATACACACACTTTTAATTACCAAGCTTTTTTCCTGTTGCAAGTCTCAAGCAAACTTTTTCTCCCTTTGGACTTTTATGTCTTTTTCCCCCTCCCTGTGGTTAGAAAAAAAAAACCAAAATTTAACAAGAGCCTTGGGCACATTATCAAAATGATCTGGATGTGAGGGATACTTCCTGCTAACAAGGCAGAAAGAAAGCATATACAGAGTAAAACTGCCCACATTAGCCCTGGAATTGCAGTTTGAGATGACAAAAGATATTTATCAATGTTTTTCAATCCTTTGCAAAAATCATGGGATATTACTTCTTGTTTTCTTTTTAAGACTGGGAATTCCCTCTTGAAACTTCCCTTCTCCCTACATTTTCCTGCATTTGTAGCATGGATCTGCCTCTAGAATCTTCTATCCTTTCAAACCTCAATCTTTTGTAAATATTTACTATGTTTGGCCAGCTCCTTACAAAGTATAACTTTACCATCCCATGTCCCAGTCGATCTTTCATATTTAATCCCAATACTTCCTCTGAACCTTTAGCCTTTCTAGAGACACTGTGGGCCATTCGTCTTATTGTTGTATATTAAAAGTTTTATACATAGTCCAGGACTGAAGTACTGACTTTCCAATCCCTCTAATGGCCAAGTTTCAAAGATCCCTCATGTGGCCTCGATGACCCTCACTGTTATTATTCCAGGTGTGTTGTTGGTTGGGATGCTTTTTTAAATCTCTTGCCATCACACTCTACCCAACCATAGCACTCCTTTTTTATTGTTAGTTTTTTGGTGGAAGAGGGTAGATTTATGTGTAAGTATTTTGGCAGCATATATGCCTGTGTATCACGTGGGCTTGGTGTCCTCAGAATCAGAAGAGGATGTCAAAGCCTCTAGAACTGAAATTCACCAGTGGTTTTGACTGGGGACCAAACCCAGATCATCTACAAGAACAACAGTGCTTTTTAACTGCTGAACCATTTCTCCAGCCCCCAAAAGGTTGTGACCTCCACTTGACAGGAACCTTATCTTTTTAATATTGTTTGTGTGTTTGCCTAAATATATGTATTTCCAGACAGTCCTTCTTGGCATCCCCTGTTCACCAGAGAAGGCACCACTCAATATTGACATTAACTCAGGCCAGGTATAAAGTTGGGGCCCAAGGTTTTGATCCAGTTGACCAGACATCACATATATGTGTTCTATCACAGACATCACATATGTGTGTTCTATCAAAGACTTCATTTCCATTTATGATTTAAGGCCTCTGAACTTGGAGGATGTTGACAGTACTATCCTTTTTCCACCCAGGAGACTGTTTCTGAATGAGAACATCAATTGAGGGGATTCCTTTGTTGACAAGGGAAGGTTTGGGGTATCATCCTGTTATTGTCCAAGATTCATTCTTAACTTAGATATTGAGGGATAAAGAAGTGCTGGAAGTCAGAGCTGGGGCTTCCAGCACTGATGAAAAGAGAAGTTATCAAGAGGACCCCACTTAGAAGGTGCTCTTTATTTTCATTTACTTTATTACTGTTGTTTCAGAGAAAAGAGGGCCCCTGGTCCCTTTCTCCAGCAAAGATCATAATCATCTCCTCCACACTCTTGGCCTTATATCATTATATTCACCTACCTAGTGTGCTGGCTGGTTTTTGTCAACTTGACACAAACCTATGTATATCTGAGAAGAGGGATCTTAAGAACATGCCTTCTTAAGATTGCCCTATAGGCAAGCCTAATGGTTGATACGGAAGGACCCAGATCACTGTGAGTGATGCCATCCCTAGGCTTGTGGTCCTGGGTGCTAAAGAAAGCAGGCTGAATGGACCTCAAGGAGCAAGCCAGAAAGCATCACCCCTCCTTGGATTGCTTCAGTCCCTACCTCCAGGTTCCTGCCTGCTTCAGTTCTTGTTCTGACTTCCCTCATGATGA